GAGACTGGGTCTTGCTCTAGCTCAGGCTGGTCTCAAACTCCTGAGCTCAGGCAGTCCACCCGCTTCAGCCTCCCAGAGTGCTAGTATTATAGGCATGAGCCACCACGCCCAGCTACAGTGATCCCTTACAAGACGTCTAGCTTTTTAGCTCCTGTCACTTAGCAATCGATATGAAACTAATTCTTTGGTGATAGAAAGTGGGGAGAAGTTGGCATAATAGTTTCAGGGTTTTGGCAGTTTCCTTGAATCTGAACAGAGAAAAACTAAATACCCAAGAAAACAACCAGGTTTGGTCCTGGAAGTAGCCTTAATGTTGTTAGCAAGATATTTTAGAAATATTCATCTTGCATCTGGAATTTTTGCCTTGGTTGGAGAATAGGGGGTCTTAGAGTATCATTGATTCTGGGAGAGAGATGAGAGAGTTGGTCTTAGTAAAAGGTTAGTAGCAATGGTTGTTTCTGTTTTCTTTTTTCCATGTCATTACTTTGAAGAACTTTTCCTTGCCCACCTCCTCACCTGTTAGGAGGGCACCGAAGAATGCCAGAAGCCATTGATTCATTAAAAATGAAGATGGCTGAGAGAAGACCAGAGACTTTAGAAATGGTGTCTGGAGATGAAGAAGAATCTTTGGAAGGCCACTTTTAATAATTAGTTACCGAGAGGTTGGAAGCAGTGAGGATGGCCACTGTTGGAAGGAGCGAAAGGAAGGCAGAAATGAAGAGTGGTTGCTTTAGGATAAGGCATTTTTGGATAGAAAACATCTATATATATTTTAGGGCAAAAGAAAAGGTGCCATGTAAGAGAGAACTAGCAAGAGAGGCAGGGAAATGTAGGGAAGGAAGAAACTTGATCCTTCTAGAGTGACTCTTCTGGACCAGGCAAGATGCCAGATGTTTTTATTGTTATCTTATTTATTATTCACAACAGCTGGTGAATTAGCCATGTGTGCCTCACTTTACATACTGGGAACGTAAGGCCAAGGTACATTGTGACTTGTTTTAAATGAGTAGAAAAGTCTAGGCCTGTCTTAGCCTCTGCTCTTTCGGTCTCTCCCTCCTTAGGAGGTAGGCATCAATGGAATCCAGGGCACAATGCTTGGGAGTGCCCTAGAGAAAGAAGAGGCTATGCTGAGAAAGTAGGGACAATTATAGTAGGCCCATTATGCACAACCAGATTTATTCTGTAGCCTTTAAACTAATATGGAGAACACAACAATGGGGATGACTAAGATTGGGGAAGGTCAATGTGGAGAATGTGTTTGTGATGGCTTGAATGGCACATGGACATGGAAGTCACTAACTGCTATATAATACTAAGGAAGGGCTTTGTGTAGTAAGGTGGGGGAAGATAAGCAAAAAAAAGAATTCACAGTAAAAGCAGCTTTGTATGATCCCATTTATGTCAAATTGTGTATGTCTATAAAGAAATGTATGATAGAATGGTTATCAAAATGGTGGTTGGTGGTTAGTTCATTGGGAGGATTACAGGTGATTTTATTCATTTAAGTTTTTTGGCATACTTCAAATTTTTCTGTGTTCAAAATTTGTGTATATCACAAATCAAATTTTTATAAATGTGATTTATATCACATATACTACTTATAAACACAACTACTTTTGTCCTGTAGAAAACAACTTGTTGAATTAGTTGTTTTTCCTCAAAGAAGGGATTAGAATTTTTCCCTTTACTGATCTTTACTGTAATGAGAAAGTCAAAGAGAAGTAGATTCTGACAGGCTCCTGAGTTGGGGTCTATATCATAGCTAGCTCTTTCCCTACCATATTGTCCTACTGGAAGCCCTAGTGAGTCTTAGTCTAAGAGCTTTTCCTGGCTGTAGGAGAGGGCTTTTTTGTTTGTGTCTGGGACAACCTGAAAGTGTTATGGAGTTAATACCCTTAAGAACAGCCTCAATCAGTGGCGACTGGGCATCAGTGGGTAAACACTGCTGCTTCCTGGCCTCTGGATAGAACACATCTGAGATTTATGCACACAAATTCCAGAGGGCCCAGCAGGTCCAGCAGGCCCAGCCTCATCTGTCGATGTCAGTGTGCCTCGTGCTGGATTCTCCTCCTTTCTCATCTCCCAGTCCTCTGCCAGTGCTTCTTGGGATCATCCTTCTTCCACTTCTTGCCCTCAAATTCTTGCTTCTGAGGGAAACAGACCTGAGTCAGAGCCCTAGCATTATTTATTTCGTACCTCCTTCCATGACAATGGACAAAGTTCTTGTTGCTGGCTTTCTTTTCAGAGTACGGAGCAGAGTTCAGGAACCTCTCAGAAATAGTATCTGATACAAATACTTAATGTTTGCCATAGTGAAAAGGAAAATGGTGACTGTTGACAAAGAACTGCTTTCTCTTATTTCCCCACCCTGCCATTGAGTGAGGAACTTGTGACGAAATAATCCATAGACCTGAGTCATAGTCCTGTTTCACAAATGTGAGATAGGCTAGTCAACTGGGCCATAAGTGCTGAATTCCTCCATGAAGTTCTGTCTTTGAGCAACAGTGATCTCACCCACCCATGTCTCTCATCTGCAAGACTTCTTTCTGTGTCCTAAGCCATATTTTAAGGGGATTAAGAGTCTTTCCTATTTTAGTCCTTTAGTGGAGTACAATTCAACAGCTCAAGGCTGTGCAGCTGACAGTGAGGGCACATGGTAGATTTCATCCTTAACTGAAATACACACCAAACTGGCTGTGAGGACCCTCCATCTGAGGGCTGTGTGATGACTGGGCTTGTAGCAAACTTGGTCATATTCAGTCAACCTCTGTGTGTTAGTGCCTTGGTCTGCAGAAAACGAACACGTAGGGAGGCTGCCTTTGAAAATCAAATGCTGTGTTCTGCACGCATCCCTTACGGATTTTCACCACACACATCACTCAGTTTTCTTGGATTGAGTGGTTAGGCATTGTGTTTGGTTCAAGCTAGGATGGGAATGAGATGTTGGAGATTATCAACATCCTTAACTGAAAGGTTTCTGGAAAGAGTCCCTTTTCATCATGGGGGTTCTCTGATGTTTTTCCTTTGTTTCATTTTTCTTTCTTTCTTTCAGAAGGAACTCATCTATCCAAGTGTTTTTAAATCACTGGAGTGTTTACCTCTAGCACAAATACTTTGGGCTTAGAAATATATAAGATTTGAGTGATGATTTGAACTTAGATGAATAGCTCGAGGTAGATATTGTCCCTACCTCAGTAAGAATGTGGCCTTGGGCAAGCAAGCAAGAGTGATAAGCTGTGAGTTCATTTTCCAACTCTGTTATTTGCTACTTAAGTGACTTTGGGCAACTCACTTGCCGTTACCTCTTAAATAGTATAATAAATATCTATCTTATAGGGTTGCTAAAAACTATAAGAAATAAAAAGTTTATTTTAAACCACATTGCACTATTATTTTTGTTAGCTTCCTTGCTTGTCTTGGTTGAATTCTGGATATGTGCTGCCAAAAGCATCATTTTATATCATCAACTTTAGCTTTTTTTCCGTATAAAAGAAATATATTTATTTGTTTGTATTGTTTATATCCTTATAAGTTTTTTCAAATTATTTTTGGAATACTTTGGAATACAAACTATGAATGAATGAATTAGATGAATGAATGAGTGGGTCAATATATGGAGCTGTTGACTCAGCACTACTAATAAATGCTAACTAGATGTACTGAGCAAACAAGGTGAGAAGAAAGGCCTGAGCCTATATTCTTGCTTTAAAGATGCAAATGTGCTCTGTGAAATAATTTAACAGAAAAACATAATTCTGTTGTCTCTTTTCCCAGTTCTGCCTTAAAATCATTAATTCCTTTCAAATATGTGAACCAGGTTTTTAAAAACAGGATTAATGAATGTAAGAACTTCTGTTATTAACATTCTTCAGAAGTGAGTGGCCCTAGCCAAAATACAATAGTCTTTTGGTAAACCCTGCTTCCTGTCAAAAAGAAAGAAAATCAAATCATTGACATAATAGAAGAGAAAATCTGATACACGTTTCCTTAAAGATTAATGTCCCCTTCTCCTGTTTATTTCTTTTTACTCTTTGAACTGTTTGAACCTGTTGTCCTTACCCAACAATGAATTTTATAGACCCCAGAGTGAAAGAAATCTTAACAATTCTAAATGTCACCTTCTTTGAATAACTGAATAACTAAATAACTCAGGAGAGAATAAGAGAAGCATTCTGGATTGGGATTCCCATGAATGAACCTGGTTACAAAGGTTTAGTTTGTACTTAACCCTTTCCATTAGATTGATGCAAATTAAAGCCAAACTCTTTTTCTTGAGGGTAAAGAAATGTACAGCTCTATAACTATCACCAATGACTTAATGAAGTAGTTCTTCATAAGGTCACCAAAGATCTGGGACTCGACTCTAAATACTCAGATTGTGTAAATTTATTAATCATTTTCAAATATAATAAACAGGAAGTTCCCTAATGAAATTGGACATACAATGTCAACTTGGTTACGTGAGATTTGAATAATTTTTTTCTAGACTTTCTAGAGAGGGATATAGTAGGAATGAACCACATAGGGATAAAAGAATGAAATTATTTAAAGAAATAGCCCTGAGGGAAAGTGGTGACAGGTGAAAAAAAAAAATCTGTGGGGGATTAGTTGTGTGTTTGTGTGTGTGTGTTTTCAGACAATTACTTAACTTGTGTGTGAGTATCACATAAGCATGTTTAGTTCTAAACATCTGAATCTGTTATGCATTTCCAGCATTGGTAGGAAATGTAAATAGGTTGAATGGGGGGAAATAAGTTGAATCTGGATAATTAAAATAGTACATATCAAATTCTGAAATGAAAACTGACCATTATCTTGGTTTGAACTTGCAGCTCCTGGCTAAGTACAAAAACTTGCAATGGGACAAAGTATTGCGGCTGGAGGAGGTACAGGCAAAACTAGGGGTTAGTCTGGAAGAAATGCTCTTGGTCACAGAGGAAGCCCTTCATTCTGAACCCTATACCCCTGAGGAGATCTGCAGGTGTCTGGGAATTAGCCTGGAGGAGTTACGAACCCAAATCCTGAATCCAAATACTCAAGATGGTAAGTCTGCTAGAGAAGTAAGGATATGGTTATTCCCCCCTCACCACTGGAAGATCTCTAACTTCTTTGTGGGTCTTACCTATTTTCAAGCATAGTTGAGGAAATTTGGAATTTGGCAAACTTAATTATATATATTCTTAGCTTCATAAATTCATTCATTCATTCACCAATATTGTGAATAGGCAAAGTTAAATAAGACACGATTTCTGCCTTTAAAATGTTTATAATTCAATAAGCATTTCTTTTTTTAAAATATATTTTGCTTTTTTCTCTTTCCATTTTCCTGGTCATTATATTACTTATATATTAATTTAAAAGTCTAGGTTAGAGTAGTGCTCATAACTGCTATGGAACAATTCTCTGAGCACTAGAAAGTCTCCACTGCCTAGGTTGAAACTTGTGACCCACACTACTATGGGAAACTTATTTCTATTTTAGTTGCTTGCTGCTTTCAAGTAATTTTGGTTTTTTTTTTTTCTTTTTAGTAATTTTGTTTTTGTATCAATAGCACCAGAAACTAAGATGAAGGCCAGGTAAATGTTGGAGGCACAGGACAGAGCCTTGGAGTGGCTATTTTTCTTAGAGTAGATGTGGCCTGTTTGTGGGAAGTTAGTACTGTCAGCAAGGGCATCTAGTTAAGATTCTGTCAGCCCTTAGGGTGGGATTATCGACAGTGGGAGGTTGATATAAAGATTAGCTTCAGGGCCCCATTGCTATCTCCTTCAGTTCAGTTCTACAGCTGGTTATTGACTGCCTCCTCTGGATTTGCTTGCAGAGTAATACCTTGAAGGCTGCCCCTACTGATACTTTGGGATAAGATGAGGGAATAACTTGAAGGCAGGGATTAGGTTTTAGTTTCTTTTTTTTTTTTTTTT